ATTTCATGCCATTCTGTCAAAACCAGCACCACGCATCATCAAATAGCAATTGTGTGCAAACCATATTATTTGGGATCACTCTCCGCTTGACTGAACCAATTCAATGGCACACTGCAAACATCATATCTCTTTAACTCTTTGACCACATCATATCTGAATCAGATCTTTTGTTCCAGTGACTTCTCATCAACCGCTTCCTGCTCTCAGACCTATTTCGTCGATCAGAACGATTCTGCCTGTATCTTCTGTCAGATGCAGCAGGACACTGGTTCATCTTTTGATTTGATAATGTAGATGGTTATGGCTTGAAATCTTATACAATTAAATTTCCATGGGTAATTTTATTCTTGTGTGACCTTTGTTTGGGAGCGGGAGGCATGCATACATGTTCCAAGCATATGATGCATCAATACATTGTGCGCGCTTAAAGAAAGTTGATATGAAATTATATGACTGACAGTGTTGCTAATCTTCGATTTGCTTTGCTAAACACAGTGTTCAATATTAGACTCGCATCATATCTCTTCAAAACGTTGACAGAAGAAACCAGAACAAATCTGCCCGTGTCTTTGGAAGGATTGCGATACGTATCTCATCAGCAGTTTGCTTTACTTGCATTCTTGACTGGTTGTGTTTTCTTAGTGCCCTCTCATAACGGTTTTGCGAATATGCTTTATTTAAATACATGTTAGGTGGTATATGTAACAGAACGTATTATTGTTCAAACAACTTTTGATGGAATACATGCGACTAAGCACTAGGTAGGGAATGCTAGAGAGAATGTAGTCATGACTTGTAGCTACGATGGGTATTGTCAGGCACGCTGCAAATCATGTATCAGAGCCGCTCTGGAGGGCCATGAACAACTTGTCGCCGCTGCAACTTGGCTGTTTTTTTTGGTGGTTCCACAATTCACACAATGTATGCTAGGAACTGAGGCTTGACAACTCATTGGGTTTCAATGTTTCAATGTTTGAGGCTGTTATGTCAACAAGTTGACTGTGCAGACCATACTGACACATAACAGCACGGCTATGTGACAGTTGTGTGTTGCATGGTGAAAGCTTGTGTGGTATGATTGCAGTGTATGACTTGTAGATATGAAAGGTCCTGTATATGAATATGAACAGTTAAGAACTACTGGTGCAAATGTTGAACTCATCATTACAGTTTTCGAATATTTTTGATTTATTGTGACATTACACCATATGTTTTTTTTAATGAACTGTGACATTACACCGTATGTCTTTATGAAGACTGATACAAACCTATGATAATAATCCGTTTTATTTTCTTTACATACAACAACCAATACGATACACAAATCATTATAGCATTGTGTCACTTCAACAGTTCAACGCACAATAAATAACCATAGGCCAAACTTCTAATATATTCTGCACAAAGGCTTGGCACATTTTTTTTGTACTAGTCGCTATGTTTTTTTTGTTGACCTTCACCATGGGCAAATTTAAATAGCATTAACTAAAACATAGCAATAATTATCCAAACACTTTGGACTATGGATTGAATATGATCTTTTCAGCCAATAGTTCGGATTCATAGATGTGTATTTGTTTAAATGTACCTGTAAGTCATTATAGCCTAGCTAGTCCTCTGTATATTTTTGTTTTTGTAGCTTGAATCCCCATACATCTTTGTACAAAATAAAACATCATACTGATAATTTATTCACTGATAATCTTGACTTCTTTACGTACCAGATCTGGTTTGGTATGAATTTCTTTATTGCTTCCCTTTGCCACAAGCATTTGTATAGCCAAGGTTTTGTCTATCGCATTCTCTTTCATATGGGTCGAGCTACTTCGATCTCTTGACTCACATTTGGCATTTGGTCGATAGCACAGCCATGGTGAAGTATGGGCAGATTCTCGGATTGGGTGGTTGGTTCTGGTTGGGATGACATTCATGTTTGTATTGATTCAGTATTTTTTTTGATATCCACATACATCATATTGTTTCACATTTAGCTACTGTCTGTTCTTTCTGGATTTACTTATGCGGAGCTAGATCATCCGATCCAATGATCACCTTCCAATCAGGCCAGATGAGGCGGTTCAGCTGCAGAACAGGTTGCTGTTGGATGCGACCTTTCTACAGTTGCCATCTGCTGACTGTGGGGAAGATGACGAATCATTAGAGGGGCCTTGTCTATCCTATGAACGACGTTTGGAAGCTGCAAATTTTCTTCTAGAGATCGATAATGATGATTGGGCTTCAGACCAAATCGTACACTGGTGTAAGCTGGGTTGCTGCAACAGCATTCGGGAATCCAAACTCAAATTGTGGGTTGCGATGCAGGACGGGTGACAAACAATGTTGATTTTCGTTAAGGGTTATGTGACATATATTAACGAAAATCAAAATAGTTGACATGATATGATGTGTGGTTGTTCACATATCATTGAATTATTCAAACCAAAAAATGACATGAGGTGTGGTTGTTCACATGCAGTTGAACCATTAGTGGGGGAGCGATGCGCCATACACTACATCATCTCCCTTGAAAAAACAACTAATATGAAAACACATATAATCTAATCAATGTATCTTTACTGCTGGAGGGTTTGTAATGTAAGTAATTTTGAAACCAACACAAACACCAACACCACCACCAACAACAACAGCAACAACAACAACAACAGCAACAACAACAACAACAACGCGGACAACAACAACATCCCCACCACCAACAACAACAACAGCAACAACAACACCACCACCAACAACAACAGCAACAACAACAGCAACAACAACAACAGCATCAACCACAACAACAACAACAGCAAGCAAGCAAGCAAGCAAGCAAGCCAGCCAGCCAGCCAGCCAGCCAGCCAGCCAACCAACCAACCAAACAACAAAACAAACAAAAACACACCAATCCAACAACCAACCAACCAACCAACCAACCACCCAGCCAGCCAGCCAACCAACCAACCAACAATAAACATCAAACGGCAACAACAGCAACAACTGCAACAACAACAACAACAACAACCAAAACACAAAAAAAAAACAGCAACAACATCAGCAGCAACAAAAACAGCAACAAAAACAGCAACAAAAACAGCAACAAAAACAGCAACAAAAACAGCAACAAAAACACCACCACCACCAACAACAACGACAACGACCACGACAACAGCAACAGCAACAGCAACAGCAACACCACCATCACCACCAACAACAACAACAACCACAACAACCACAACAACCACAACAACCACAACCACAACCACAACCACAACAACAACAACAACAACAACAACAACAACAACAACAAGAGCAGCAACAGCAACAACAACACTACCAACCACCAACCACCAACAACAACCAATAACCAACAACCAGCAACAACAACAACAAAACCAATGTTTCTTCAACAAACATCATCAATATGTCAATTTCTCAATTATGTTGTATAAGTTGGTGTACTCTATTGCTTTTGTAAACGTCTGTCTAATAATGGCAGTTAGATTTAGTATTATCAAAAATAGCGGCTTTGATTTCAAACCATTCTTGGACTGTGTTATCAGAAAAATAGTTTTAGACGGCCGCCTTCTAGGGAATGTAAACGCAGTTTAAGTTACATGTGAGTTTTATATTGTGTTTGTCAGGCGGTGGTATTCCGCAAACGACCACCGGTACCTGCAATCAGCAGATGGACTGCGTGTGTCAAAACGGCAAGAGTCGTTCTGTTACTTGTTTGGTTCATCAGCCGGAAGGCTTTCTATACTTTGATGTTCATGCTGCTGAGTTTTTGAAAAAATACTTCCTCAATCCTAAATATAGTATTTGGGTATATGAACGTACTGTATGGTTGCATTGGGGTATCTTTTTTTAAAACATATCTTAATATTGTTTTGAATTTCTTCCATTGAAACAACAAACAATCATTTAAGTATTATTTATTCGTATGATTTGTAACGTAATATTCAAAGATTGTTTTCATATACCAAATGAAGAACAAGTAACTCATAACTCATGACCCATAATCAGCACAACATTGACTTGTCATTCCAACATCTGAGGTTGCAAATGGCAGTTCATCGACTCCTTCAACGAGGGTTTGCAAGGCTCTACAGGTACAAGCTTGAAGGGTCTGATAAAGCAGGGGGGCATGGTGAGAGTGATGCCATTGTGGATTTCGATCATACTGCGCTGCATTGCGATAGCTCAAGGGAGCTACACTTCAAGATGAAGGGTGCTCGATTCTAGAATATATTTATGGGACAGTAGTTAGTTTTGTTTTTTTACACAACATACATGTTCGTTGGGGATTTTCTGACTTCAATTGGTGATATTAATGTATATAGGTAGTTCTAAACCCTGTACTCAGGATCAGAAAAAGCTTGGAAATTTCTCCAGAGTTCGGACGAGATTTACAAACTGGGCCTAGCAGTTTCGATTGTGCCAGCAGCAGAGGAGGTAATTCTTTGTCATTTTCGGTGGCAAAGCGATGAATCATACATCACTGAACCCATCAGCAAAACACCACTTGTGATCATGGCGGATATGGAAAGATCACCTGCAGCCAGATCAATCGATTTACTTGTGAGGGGATTGCAACAGCAACATGGTCATCGTGATGCATACTTGAGAAATTGCCTCCAAATTTTCCAGCACTTGCACAAAGGTTGGTTGACAAAAAAATAATATGGATGATATTGGCATCTTTACAAACAATTTGTTCTTTAAGTATGTAAATGATATACATACTAAAACAATCTAAGTATACCATACTAGAAAACTAATACTAGGACAACAACATATCTGTTCATATGGATTCCCACTGTAAGGTTCAAACAAGGGGTATGTTATTCACAAATCATATATTAAGATTTAAACTTAAATATATATTTATATAGTTTTTAATTTATAACTATCACTTTGTTCAAAGACATCGAATTTTGGTTTTACTCTCTTCAACTGATTATGTTTATTATGTTGTGATGTTGTTTACAGCAGTCTTGAAAAACATGTCACATGCTAATCTTTACCCTGTAGGTTTGCCTGGTATTCCACCTGCCAACTTTCGGTATCAGCGTCTGTGGTACACTGTAGTTACCATTGGCCAGCTTTTGCACCGGCTCGTGAGGCCATATCAAAGACTTCCATTACAAACCGCTCGATTAGTCGATGACAATCAGTCTATTGATAGCCGTGTGCAATTGGCAGACCAGATGCTTGCGCTTCCTGAGTGTTGCGTTGACAGATTATTTGCACAACCCTTTTTACAAAGTCTCCGGGAAGAGGGTGGGTCCATTGCACTTGATGGTGGCACGATATTATCTGATTTGGAATGTTCCCTCAGGGTAAAGGTATCAAATTTGGAAATCGAGTTGAACTTCTCACGTGCTGCAACAACTAGACATTCAATGCACGGAAAATCTCACAAAGTTGCATCAATGGTCTCAAAGCACATCACCGCTGAAGTCAAACTGGGACAACGACGAAAGATGATTGCTTTACAAAAATCGGGGAAAACAAAGCAGGCTACAAATCCAGGCAGGGAAACCATATAACATGATATAGCATGTTTTTGAAGTTTGGTTATGCAGGCAGTTTCTATACTCAATGTCAAATTTCCTACATATCCAACATAGATTTATTATATGTTTCTAATATGTAAATATGTTACCAGTATATCAGTATATCAACATATCTGATTCTGATTTATCATCTAGATATCTTTGTGTTTGCTCATGGGTCCACCACCTACAAGCTTGCATACAAAAAAGAGAACAAACCCACATTGTCCATGGCCAAATCATATAATATCATTGTTGATGGTTCGATCTTAAAATGTACGTTTTAACTGTTTAGGTGTTAGACACGCAAATGCCCATATGGATTCTCATTTTTATATTATATAATGTATTGTTTATACAGTAAATAAACATTTTATATAGTCTGTCTAAAAGATGTGGTTTATGCAAACATTATGGAAACTAAGCATAGCCCCAGTCACATTCCAACCTTGCCCTACAGGCAAACCATCGCGGAAAACTGGATTCTCGATATTTCTCGCGGACTTCTATGCAGATGCTCGGAAAAACCATGGGGAGCCTGGGGATGGCAAGTGGCACGCCAAACGCAAGCAGCTGTTTAAGTCAGCAAGGGACAAATGGAATTTGCGTACTTTTGAGATGAGACGTTCCAGGGCACAATATTCCCAGAGAGCGCGCCAACTGAATGCAGAAGCCAACTGCAAGCGTGATGCGCTGCTGATTTGTAAAGATGTTGAAGACTGTGAAAACAACACACGGGCTGGCGAAGTGAAACAACATCAGTTGAGTTTGCTGAACATTGCAGTTCAACATGGTATGATCGGTCCTCCTGCACAATCACTGGATGATACACCTTCAGTTCACAGACAACATGCACTCCCTGAACTTGCAAACCGACAGGAAGCAATTCCAGCACCATTGGATGATGTACAACACCAGCCAGACACTGATGGTATGATGGTTGTTCTCGATGAGCATGATATACACAAGGATTCATCATGAGTTCTTTTTGGCTATTGCTTGTCTGCAGAGTTTCTAGATTTAATACCAGTGTCCATTGTCACATCCTGTCGTCCATTCGATCTAAGGTATCGCACAGGGTGCTGATGAGACTCGAGATGTGCATGCTACTTCGGCCGCCGATATCTTATTGGCTGGTATCGGACATCGTCATCGCCCAGATTGTGGGGATGGACATGTTGATGCTGTGCAGTGTCTTCAGGATGATGTAGAGACTGATTGGATTGCAGCTATTGATGCACGATATGGTGTTAACACCGATGCTTCTGGTTCTTCTGGGAGCAGAAGCTCAAACCCAACTACACGCAAGCGAAAAGCTGTTGATATAGATGAGCAGGACATACCCATTCTGCGAATTCCTTCAGAACCAGCAGCACCAATGGTGGTTGATGATCCGGATATGCCAATGACAACTACCATTGACCCCAAAACCAAACGTGTCATTGCTGATTTCCAGGATGGACGCAAACGTGCTCTGGGAAACTTGGTATGATATGACAATGATAATTGATAATATCATATTATATATTTTGAACAAACTATATATTTGTTACATGATATATGTTTATGATCGAGTGGTTCATTATTGTTTTTTATGTGAATAACATAGTTAAGCGGGATCGAAACATTTGTACGGGAGGTAGGCATGTATCCTACAAATGTGTTCCGATTGTGGTGATCAGATAGACTACAAAGTATACTTTAGACTATAGATTTTACAAAAAAACGATAAATATAATATATAACATTAAATATATTATATATATATATATATTTATATATTATATATATTATATATTATATATATTGTATAATTATATATATATATAATATATATATTATTTGGACATGTAACACAGTATGACTTGTGTTTTGTTTTCCAGCCTAGGGTTGATGTGGATACACCCAAGGAAGAATTACGCAGTTTAGAGTCGGTGAGCCCAATGAGAGCCTCAGCTGTGCATGCTACCTCCATACCAAATGCAGCGTTGTTCGGTTGATGAGTCAGCTTCCCTATGGATGTACTTCCATGCTGATGAGCTACCTACAAGCGGGACTTCGGATTAAAGATCGTCAGAGTGCCAAGCAGCACATGGAAATGTTTCGTGGGTGCATTGATTTCCCTATCAACTGGATATGGTACTGTGGTATGACTTTCACTTTCTTGGTGAGCGGACGTAACTTATTGTTTGTTGTATACCCTTAAAAAAACAATAATATATGCAATGATTTAGTATTATTATATCTTCTTGAACACTTATATTTGAAGGACAATAGGTTTGGGTTGCAAGATGTATGATGTATTACTTATGTGGTTGTTTGTAGCATGCATCTTGTGATTGCACCAACGAGGTTTAATTCATTTGTTTGCGCAGCCCCTTCTGAATGATGAGCTTCCAGATATACTTGGCGAAGTGCCAAAGCATGAGTTCCGAAATTCGCTGGGCTGATTTGGCCTAGATCCAGGCAAAAAAAAAACATCAGCATGGGCATTGATTTAAACAAAGTAACCTACCAAACAATACAGGATGTTTTACTGTTTCATTGTTTTACTGATGTGTATCTACAATACAAATACTAATACAATACAAGATGTTTTTTTTGTTGATGTCCAGCTGTATGCCAATTCGAAAGGTACATTATCTTGGGCGTTTTACAGCTCACAAACTTGTCAGCTGTATTAATACCCTCATTACAACTCGCTGAGCGGGCACATAGGTGTGAGAGGAAAATGCTTAGCTCATGACTCGCCAAGTTGTTCAGCATTGCAAAGTTGATTTGATCCAATGTGTAGCATGGCATTATTACATCATTTTTCGCACAAAGTACATATATGACTTGAATTGAATCCAGCCTAATCAATTCACACTTCAGTTTCTGTCTCAAAAAGCGGCTTCCACGAATTCAAGTTCATCGGAATTTACTCGTCTACGTGGCTGACCGTTGGTGGCATTGCGATGAGTGCTCTTATGCAAAGGACGGCAGTTCCATCCGAAAGAGGGGATGTGCAAATGATTGCGGCGTTGAAATGCGAAACTTTTGAGTTTCCGTTGACCTACAAAGTCAGAGAGTGTAAGTATTGTCGATCCAAGTCATGGATCGCAACACCAATGGCTCAGGGGACTTTTCCAACATGGGATCCACTTGTTCCATGGAACCAGGGAAAACGCGACAAGCCTTTGGGGAGTATCTGCAAGATATGTCCACTTGTACTTAGGCTTACTTGCTTGGTTTTCCCACTGTTTTGTTTGCCAAATGCATGTGACCTGTTTGTGGTATTGTATATTGTAGTTGTCTCCGGGGTTGTGTTGCAGAATGTTAAGAATCCAATCTACTGAGGTATGGTCGGCATGCCACTGGTATTTGGATTGTTCTCCACAAGATTTGTCCGGTTTCGACAAGTTGATTGCCAGCGATCCTACCCGACTTCACGCCTTCCTGGTGCCTTGGCTGAAAGAAACATACAAGTTACACAGTTACATCATGTTGCACCAAACTTACAGTAATATTAAGGTTAAATTAAAAATAAAATAAGATAGTCTACAAAGTAAACAAAACCAATAATTGCATCCAAAATCGAAATCATACAATCTTATTATATGCTATAAAAACTGCATACAAAAGTGTGCAACAAAAACTGTACCAAACTATACCGAACTATACAAAACTGTACCAGGTATCTCACAAACCGTACCCCAAAACCGTACCCCGAAAACCGTACCCTGAAAAACCGTACCCCAAAACTCAAAAAGATACATCGATATACGTCCTTATTTGGGGTACGGGTACGGGGTACGGTTCTGGGGTACGGTTTTGGGGTACGGTTTTTCAGGGTACGGTTTTTGGGGTACGGTTTTGGGGTACGGTTTTTCAGGGTACGGTTTTCGGGGTACGGTTTTGGGGTACGGTTTGTGAGATACCTGGTACAGTTTTGCATAGTTCGGTACAGATTGGTACAGCTTGGGACACATGTACTCTATCTCATACTGGTACAGTTTGGTGTACAGTACTGCAAAGTTTTTGATTTGCTAGCTTTGACCTGCCTTACGCTAAGATTCAGCGACGCAACTACATTGATCATCGGGTTGAGAACCCCCAGCTTCGAACCAGGGGCGACTTGAACCTGGGACCTCGTGTGTTGGTGACAATGAGCAATCAGAGCCGTAGCACCTTGAAGAAGCCAAAGTCCTACTTTGTGGATTTGGAGTCCTACAAGACTGATAATCCGGGAACTGTGGTTCAGGAGAAGGACAAGGTATGGGAGCAGATAGATGGCGAGTGGATCGAAGGGGTTATTTGGAGTGAATGTTAGAAATATTCTTTTGTTTTGACAACAGTATAGGTTGTATATTAGTATATATATATATATTAAAAAAACAATCATCAATCAACAAATGTTCCAATCTACCTAAGGTCAATGTGAGAGTCGGAAGGAAGGGTTACTATGAACGCGAAGATGCAGTGGACAAAGTATCCAAGATGGATGTGATTGCCTTTGACTCGAATGAAGCTATCGGCGCGTCTCCAGATTTGAGCACCAAGGTCTTCAAACAGACCAGCAAATCCATTGCACCAGCGAACCCAGATCCACTTGATGCTTTGGATCTGCCTTTCTTCAAGATGGGACATCATCCAGAGCTTGGCTGTGCTAGGTCATCGGGAGCTGCATCATCTTCAGCTCCTTCGACAGTGACGCTCACGTCTTTGCCTGCCATTGAGGCTCCGAGCATGTTGTCTTTGCAGGATCGCCAAGGTGATGGTAGCGGTTCAGACAATGAGATTGAACCTTCTCGACCACCTATGATGAGCCACATGGATGTCATCCAGAAGGCATTTCCCAAGCATTCTGCAAAGGAGCCAAAAACATCAGCCAAGGCAGCCCCGAAGATGCCAGCTCAGAAAGCCCGATCTCAGCCATTAGCTGCGAAAAAAAGAAGTTCAGCAGATGCTGACGCCACCCCCCAGCCCAAGGCAAAGATTTTGAGGCTTCATGATCAACCTGATGCGAAAACAACTCCAGGTGATGCTGGTCCGAAAGATAGTGATCGGGAGGTTTTGGCTGACTACAATGAGCAGATGAAAGCACTCAAGGAGAAATCATTGGCAGGGATCAGCGACACTGAGACAGGCATCACAGACAACCTCAAAATAGCGAACAAAGACCTGATGGCACTTGTCAACAAAATCAGAACGAAGAAGAAGAGTCTGAAGCGTCGCAAGGATGCAACCTTCTTGAATGATGGCTTGGATAACATCATCCAGGAGCTTGTGAAGGTCGCTGACATTGCTGATGCAATGGCAAAGTTTCATGGTACTACTGAGCATTATGCCACAATGAAGTCTTTCAAAGTGGAATGGAATATGAGTTCTGCATTCTTCAAGCGTGTCTTCAAATGCATGGCCCTGCATGCATTGAAGTTTGCTGATTGGGGCGCCTTCCTTGAGATTCGTGGAATGCTTCATGCTGACATTGGCTACACCAACGGTGAGCTCTACTTTGAGATCTTGGTCAGTGATGTCATTCAGCGTTTGCTTCGAGCATTGCCTGCCAAGGACTTGGGTTGATTTGCTAGTTCTTCAAAGCATTCGTAACGGTAAAGTGCAGAATCTTTAGCAAGGTTAATCATTGCTAATTTACATAAATTATGTAAGAAGCATTATCATGAATATCATAAAATAATACGATATAACAGAAATACAATTGATTAATTTCAAATTAGTAGGATTCGTCAGATTTATTCCAAACACCACATTTGAATCCTTGTAGGGCTCTTGGACAGAAGAGATGATGCAGCCAATTTCGAGCTTCTTTGTCCATATGGCTACCAGCGTCATCGATGGACGTATGCCAAAAAGTTTGCAGCATCTACATGTAGTGGTGTGCCATGAACAGCAGACTCCTTCCAAGGTGATTGAATCAGTGAACTACATCCATGCTGCTGCAACTTCCAATGTCTGCAAGGCTCAATCGGATTCAGGATTGGCTGCGGTGTTCAGTGGCATCAACCAAGGGAAAACTCTTTTGAAGTTAGCCAACGCATCAGCCTTGCAAGCCCAGAAGGATACGGGACACTTGCAAGAGCTCAGTGAATGCATTGACGAGGTTGCGAAGCACTTGAGTGAGATTCCGGAATCAGCTGTTGATTCTCTTGATTGGAAAAAAACTCTTGATCTTGGAACCAAGGCAGTCAACATCTTGATGAACATCCAATCCCAAACCAGTTCCGGACCATCTTCGAAAACCATCATCAACAATGCGAAGAAACAAATCTCAGAATTGGTGTCAACCATCAGCAAGTACTTCTTGATGGGTCCATTTCAGACATGGATGTCCAACTGGGTGTCTCAGTACAACCAATCAAAGACTGCGTTGAAGGAATTGCCTTTGTCACCTTTGTCACTCAAAGCATGGGATAGCATCAACCTCAAGACGTTGACCAAGGATGCTTCTACATCGCTCCAGTGTGCTCTTCGTACAGATCAGTTCATGATCGATTTCACAGCATGTGCAGTTGAAGCAACTAGCTTGGATAGTTCTTCAACAGCCTTGGTCAACCTGATGAAGTCCATTGAGACATTCGAAAAGTCAACGTGGCCCATGATCAATGAGATGAAGATTCTTGCGGAGGAGAAGGGAGTTGCTTCCTACACCGACTTGAAGACCATCTCCCGCGGAATTACAGACACTGGGATCAACCATCAGATCCAATGCACAACCACTGCATTGGGTGCGATTGTGGCCAAGGTATCTGGGAGACAAGAAATCTGAGAACTATAATTATCCAGCCAATGTTCCAATATTCCAGTATATTGATTTACATATATATATATAAATATGATATTATATATATAAACAATATAAATTATTTATATAGTATATAATAGTATATATAAATGTTTATCTTTAGGATTATGGTAAAGTATATGTTACTGTATATGAATATGATAAAATTATAATGTTCCTTCTGAGATATCAAAAACTGAATAAGTATAGTGAGGGAAGGTGGGAACAGTGCCGAGTCGTCTTGTATAACCGGCCGTCCTTAACGATCCAATTCAACTAATGTCGAGTCTTGTTTTGTTTTCCTTTCAGAGAAGTCTTGTTTGTAGCTTAGCTAAGGTGAAATCACCTCCAGTGGCAGATGCAGATGTAGCAAAGTCACAGGCTTTGTTTGAGAAGCTCAATCTTCTGGGCGCAAGGTCTTCCGACAACGATGCAATCTCATCGGCAAAGTTGCTGGCTGCTTGCAATTACATCGTCCTTGCAAGTATCAAGGTTATGAGAATTCGTGTTGTTTATCTTTGTTTGTTTTCCTGCAAGTGGGGCGGACCAATCTAAATGGACAATTAACACCATCAAGGAAACCCAATGAGCAAGACTAGATCGCATGCTAGTTTTATCAAACACTGTTATTTAAATTTATTTAAATTGCTGCATATTTGTCTATTGTATGTATGTGTATAGTTTTGACATGATGGATATGTGATCAATCTTTACTTTGATTCAGAGGCAATGCAGAATCTGCAGCTCAACAAGCCAAAGATGAACGAGATGCAGTTCAGAAGTTCCTCAGGCCAGTCCATAGCCTACAGAAGGCTTTCAATCTCTATGCTTCAGATGATCATCATGATGACGATTCGAAAAGACGAGTTTGCAGCGAGACTATCCACCTCCTGCTCTTGAAGTCAAGTTCGGAATTTCGAGAGGCATTTGGATCTTTGACTACTTTCCAGGAGCACATCAATAAGCTGTTTGCATCCGCAACACAGTTGCTTCAACATCGACGCGAAATCTATGAGAAGGATGACAACGAGCTTGTCAGCACATTGGGGGGAATCTTCAAAACCTTACCAGAAGTAGATCCAGATTCGATGCCAACATTCGTGGAGGCAGTGAAGAAGGATGAGAAGAAGTTGCTTGAATCCACTGAAAAGTTGAACGAGATTATCAATGCAGTCGATCTCGACTCACAGGCATTTGACTGTCCAGATGCAGCTATCTGCAATGGTAAGACGGACGCTCGGTTTTTACTCTAAAGTTGCTGATGTTTTCAAGGTTTGTCATGTGGGGTATGGGAGTTGGTTTACACATTGTGGTTTATGATGGTTTCGGGAAATACCGACAATCAGAATTCTTAGGAGCTCAAGTCAGTCCACCATGCAGCGGTGAAGATCCTTGCAGAGCAGTCAGCGTGCCTCTTGCTTGTTCTTCCCCAAGCTCAGCAACTCTTAGCGCAAGGACCATCATGGATATCAGGTCTTGTTTGCATAGCGATGATGATGTTTAAGAATAGGAAATAGTTTAATTACTTGTTGTATGTCAATGTACCAGGTTTGGTTTAAACAACATTTCTTGGAAGCAATCCGTCATTGATATTGATAGGCACTGATGTATTTTCTTTGATCCCTTTCACTCCGAGGACCACTATATTACATCTAGCCACTACCTAGTATAAGTTACGATTCAAAATTGACATATTATCTTATTGATATGTTTTTCTTCGTATGATTCTATCATAAAACAACCTATAAGTTAGCGGCTGTATTGTATTTGTATTTGTTGATCACGTGATATGATTTCGTTATTCAACCTTTTAACTCTTCCTCACTCCAGGACGCACTGCTACTGGACGATTGCAAGCCCTATTGGAGTCAGTGATCGCTTCCTGCAAGAAGCGTGAGTTAGAGATTAGCCCATCAATCAATGCACAGGTCACATCCCTGCTTAGTAGCAGCTCATCCCAGGCTTGATTCCGATGTTCACTTCTGCATGGCAAGACAATCTTTGCTGCTTCAGGGGACCCAGTGGCTAAGTACGTTGGCAACACAAAAAAATAAATCACACACTCACACACATCCGCTGATGTGTTGGTCTATTTCTGTCTATTTCTTTTGATTATGTTGCAACATTGTTTGTTTCACAAGCCAGCATCTGACATTGGGAAACCTACCGAAAGACATACCACGTAACATAGGATATGCATGCTGCATATCCAGCCATTAGATCTCTTTGATCTTTGTCGGTGGCACTATGGGCACACTATCTGCAGTGTGATGGACAGACGATGCCCGACAAGAGGTCTTAAATATTGAAGCCACTTTATGATCTACCCAGTCTAGTCTAGTCTTTGTGATTTATGTGTTGAACTAGAATATGTATACAAAGGTTGTAGGATGGTTTGTGCTGTTTGTTTATGTTGTGGCTTCTCAGTTCCTTCAATCGCAAACAAAGACCGCTGATATCAATCAGCAAAGAAAGATTAGGTAAAAAAGAGAAAAAAACGACAAAACACAATGTCAATCAAGTGGATGTCTTTGCTTTGTGTTTACTTTCCAGCTGTCATCATTGAACATCTTGCGCTGTTTCACAAATACCATATCCATTGACTGATGCGGTACAAACAAGTGCATTTTTTTGCTTCAAATCATGAAGCCAACGACCAATGTACACATCAACAGTCAACAAACACCTATATGATATTACAAATGGTAATCAGGTAATCGGATAGCACACGACTCATTAAACCACGAAATAAGCTTTCACTACGGTATATGCTAATAATATTTTTGTATGCAATCTATATTCAAAAATATATTATACTAAATTATATTTTTCATGTTTGTTTAAGATATGTGTGTGAGTGTGTTCAAAACAGTTTCACCACACATCGCCTTGGTACCCTGTCCCCATGGCGAAGACCAAATCTACCGCAGTTGAGAAGCAAAAGAAACCGAAGCCACAACCCAAGGCTAAGAAAGTGGCATCTGCAAAGGCAAAGACACCGACTCAGAAAAAGAACAAGACCACTGAGAATAATCCCTTTGATCAATCACCAGATGTAGATCAAAGATCTATTCAATCCTTCTGTATCAAACCAGGGAAGGAGACGATCCCTATGTCAGCTCAGTCCAGTGAACCAGCATCATCGACTTCAGGCAAGACAGGTGACGTGAACAAGTTTGAACACCAGCAGAAGGATCAGGAGATGTGTTGTGCAACAGACGCTGTTGAACCACAAGACCAGGGTGATCATACCAAGACAGGTGAGGCTGACCAGTGTGAACACCAGCAGAAGGATCAGGAGATGTGTTGTGCAACAGAGGCTGTTGAACCACAAGACCAGGGCGATCATACCAAGACAGGTGACGCTGACCAGTGTGAACACCAGCAGAAGGTTCCAACCGACCAAAACATGGATGAAACACCCATGAAAAACTTTGGTCACTTTTGCCGCTTGGAGAATGAGTCCAAAATCAAGCTTAGCGATTTGGTGACGGCATCGAGTGAGCAAGCCCAGGTGGACCCTTTGAATTGGAAGCAGACGCTTTCTGAATTCATTGAAAACTTGGAGGAAGACAATTATTTGGATCTTTTAGATCAGGCAAAAGGTCATTCACTTCAAGAAAGATATGTTGAGTTCTTGACATCAAAGGGGGACGTGGATTCAGAGTACCAATTTATGTCTGAAGAAGGTGACCAACATGAAGACTTTCTCGACTTCACAGCCTGGTTGGCAGAACGCACTGGTGATTCTGGAGATGTTACTTGATTAATCTGGTTTAATACATTTTGTTTTGAAAACCTTAGTAGTCCTTTCCAGGTGATTATGTTATACAAAACCAACACCACATAGTTTCATAAGTTATTAACTATTTGTAATTAATGATATGATTTGTCAGACCAACATGCCATATCATATTGGCATTCCTGCTGTTCTGTCTCTGGACATGACTGAGGCACCCCAAGATGCCAAAGTGGTAAAATCTGTGGCGTTCTATGCGAAAGACTTCTTGGAAATTCAGGTGGGTGTATTGTGGTGGTGGCACTGGTGGTTGTGGTGTGTTTTCTTAACGTATATCGACTCATTTTTTTTTGAAAACAGTTTGTTTTCGGATTGTGATTCTAATAAGTTTATCACTTAGTCACTTTGTGTTATTGTCACTGGTATCGTTGTCATTATCACCACGTAACACGTATTGTATTTATTATGATATAAAATATTACATGTTGCATATTTTATAAATGCTGTATAATATTAATAATATGTTAGTTTTTGCTATTATGTTTCCGTATGTCAGGCAAACAGCGGCCTTGTTGCGTCATGGACGACTTCTTGCAAAGATCTTCTCATGCAGTTCGCTGAGGCGATTTGGGGATATTGGGACACCATGTATTGTTATAGTGTGCTGGCTTGTAATATCGTTATAGTTTTTGAATTAGCATAATCGATAAGTATATTTTTTGTTCTGTGTGCTATCCAAATTTTTATCTATGATCATCATATTAAGTTACAGTTTTTATGTAACGTAACTATGAGATATGATATATTATTTGGGGATATTACTGCTATTTTTTCAATATTCCACATGTATTAATACTACAATTATATAATATACAAGTATATATATATATCTATCTATTCATCCATGTCTATCCTTATATGAATATGATATGATGATCATACCGGCCATATAATAATACATAGTCATTGGGTTATGATTGCAATCTCAATGCGCCACAGCAGGAGCACAAGAATCTGGTGGACAGATTCACCAAACATCTCGACACAGCAGAGGAGACTAGCTATCATACTCTACATGGACATGTGTATCGTAGACTGAGGGTTCGTCAGTTCACTGTTTACTTAGAGGTATTAGTATTAGCCATCATGTGTTATCAGTATGGTCAGATGAATCACAATGTGCTTTTTTTTGCTTTTTTTCTGCAGGAGATTGTGATCACATCAACCTTGCAATCATTGGCGGGCAACATCACAAAGGTTATCGGTGATACTGCAACCTGGTTGCAAACCAATTCTCGTGTTATATCAGGCTACACCATGTGATATATTCATATATTTACAATGATTTAGAGCATTATGAATCATATTATGAATGTATTTTGAAACAACAAAGACCATACCCTTTACAGGTGTTCGAGTATCTAAACTATATAAGAAAGCTACTACATAGTCACATAGTAGCTTTGTACAAACCAAAAAAAACATCTCACAGAGCACATACACAGATATATACAGCCTTAACATGACTATATATATATATTTCAATATATCTGTAGATTTTCCCCAAGGATATTTCAATATATATTTTATTTTATATATGATATCTCTATATATACATATATTTATGTGGTGATATTCGAATGCTGTAAGTATATCATAGTATCATTGTGTTTTATTTTTCATATTAAATGACTAGTGTCTCTGCACAGGCTGATGCTGGAGTTGCTGAAGGAGTTCTACGTGCAATTGAATCGACTTTGCCAGGGATACAGACTTCTGACACTATGCAGGACCATATTACAAGATTAATTATGTTGCTGGGTCATCTGGTAAGGTGTATGGTGTATATGTGACATGTATTGACCTCTTGTTCTCAAACAAGTTCATTCTTCGAGACCCAAATTGCACATTCTGATGTGATAAGACGCTTGTGAGTTCGTACACAACAACAAGTCTTGACATTTGAATTTGAAATATGTTTTCCATACCCACAACTCTCGTGTTTTTTTTTCTGACCAAACCGTTCGTTGCAGGACTCGACTCAACAATCTGATGTACATGACACAGATGAGAACTTCAAGACTGGAACACCAAAGGATGCTGTTCACGAGACTTGGTTTATACGATTCGATGTGGAATAACAGAAAACGGTTCGTTTTTAGATCATAGATTTGCAACCTTAAATCATCAGAACATTTTCAAAACAAATGTTAAGTATATTTCTTGGTCACACTGAACTGACTCAAATCGGACAAACGCACGAAACATCAATGATGCAAAGATATATGATTTGATCATATGTTTAAAACTTATACAACTATAGAATATAGAAGATATCCCAAAACCATATGTTTAAAGTTCTAAAAAAATATTATATACTTATATAATACATTAAATAGTTAATGTTTTAAAAAAATAAAAACGTAATATACTTTCGTATTTATTTATTATATTAATCTTATTCAATTATTCTACTTACTTATTTATAATATATAATATATAGACAGATACTATTTGTTAATAGTGTAATTTGTATACATTATACTATAATATATCATTTTCATTTTTCACAATGACACAAGACATATACATATATTTTGTAAATATCATATACCAAATACATATCTTAAATAATTTATTATTTAAGTTATTATTAAATATATATATTCGACTTTATTATATTATATATATTCTTTATTTTAATAAATTATATTATATTATATTTATATTCTATTTATATTATACTTTTTTTATTATAAATATAAATGTTTGTTCTTCTGTTTATATTTTATATTTGTATATTATATATACTATACAGCAATGTATAACTAGTCTGACTAGCTTGCTTGGTCGCCAAGGAGGTTGGCAGTGTGGAGATCATGGCCGATGACATTTTGGACTCATATGTTCAGGCTCGATGTCTCATCGGTCGTATCGAACCGATGAAAAAACATGATGTAGCTATCAAATGGCACTTGTTTCACATTGGGCACATGAGTTCACAAGATGAATGCCAATCACGGCTAACCAGATATATAACTATAACAGTAACATAACAATGATTATACATAATATCATATGGTACAAGTAAGTTCTATGTTTCCATTCTTATTTACCATTAACATATCTGGTTTTACACTACATGAATGATATAGGCCTTGGAATTTAGAATTCAGAACAAACACACCAGACCACTTCTTCAATTTCACTTGACCAATCAGGCTATGATGGAGCGTATCGTGAAGGTCGATGGGGTGCGTGAAAGACTTGCAAATCTACCTCGAGATTGGCGACTAGCAACAGCATGCAGTGGCTGTGGCACATTCGAACTGGCATTGCGCGCAGTGGCAACAGCGATGTCAGGATATCTACCAGTAGATGATGATTCGTTTGTCGTCACTGGACCATTGATATGATATATAGCAATATTTAAATTGTTACATTTATATATACATTACATATCGTTATCCTTTTCGATCCTCTTTTCTGTGAGTGAAACACAAAATATGACAAAGTTATATTTGATATTGTATTCACAGTTGGTTTACTTTTTAGTGTTATTCCAGAGAAACAACATCTACACACAACAAACGGAAACCTTGGTTAGATCAACCAAATGATTCCAAATACCAAAGTGACATTGTGGATTGGCTTGTGTTAATCAACATTTTTAGTCAGTTTTCCATCAGTTTCCATGTTTACATTAACAGTTTTGAGTTGGGGGTGTTATCCATTGGTGTGGTGTATGTGAGGTCACGGATGAGTTTGCATGTGAGTCTGAGAAATGGAAGCAAACCCACTTGTTGAACAATGTCTTGGCAGAGAATACATGCTTGTTCTCCGATGTCACTTGCATTACAGATGATGCCTCACGCACATGTGTTCGGCACAATCGCGCATGTGTTTCTTGGTATTCATTTAGCTTTGATAGGTTCCCAAGTCTCAAACGGTGACATTACCATACTGGTTTATCTCTCAACTCTTGACATTATAAACCCATCAACACAGGAATCATAACGTAGTTGTAACTTGTAACACATGATACGGTATTGTAACAAATGAGAAGATATAAGTACTTGTTGCCAATATGAACAGAATATTATTTCATTTTTTTTTGCATACGTTATTCCCCACCTGCCAGGTGAGGGTTCTTAGATTTTATCACAGTTGTTGTTCTCCTCCTCCTCCTCCTCGGCTAGCTATCCTCCTCCTGCTCCTCCTGCTCCTCCTCCGCCTCCTCCTCCAGTTTCTCCTCGACCATGTTTGCATCAACTTCCGCTCTTCGCCAACTTCTGAGCTCAGTGCGCACTGCTGGACCTCAACCTGGGACCTTCCCAGCTCAGTGCGCACCGCTGGACCTCAACCTGGGACCTTCCCAGCTCAGTGGGCACCGCTGGACCTCAACCTGGGACCTGCCCAGCTCAGTGTGCACTGCTGGACCTCAACCTGGGCCCTTCCGAGCTCAGCGTGCACTGCTGGACCTCAACCTGGGACCTGCCCAGCTCAGTGTGCACCGCTGGACCTCAACGGCCAGATAGAATGCCAGAAGATATGCCAGATATAATGTCAGATAGAATGCCAGAAGATATGCCAGATAAAATGCCATGAGATATGCCAGAAAGAATGCCAGAAGATATGCCGGAGAGAACGCCAGATGATATGCCAGAGAGAACGCCAGATGATATACCAGATAGCATGCCAGAAGATTTGCTAGAGATCCCCAGATCGAATGCCAGAAGATATGTCAGATAGAATGCCAGAAGATTTGCCAGTAACAAATCGGTAAATGTCATGGTGGGGATCACTCGAAGTAAGATATTTTTCCCAAACCAAAAAAACAAAGAAAAAACGAGGTGGTGGCATCATCACTTTTCGCAGCGGGCAGCGGATTTAGTTGCAAATCTCTGAGCAAGTTGCAGAACAGCATGAGTCTTTTCAAGACTGCAATGCATGACAAGAACCAGGACCGATGTGACCTGCCCATATCATAGGGGTATATCGGCATATCAGTATCCCTATATCATATACTGGTATGAAGTAATGTGATCATTGCTCATCGTGACCGTTTATGATTTCATTACATGTTAAATTTAGTTGCTTATTTTGTGTATGTACATAGATTGGTTTTGTTTGCCAATCTGATTTGTTAGTAAAATTAGCCATCTATCGGTGTATGTCCAATCAACCACACATCGATGCAATAATGTAATACATTCACAAGATAGGGTGCGGCGAGATTATCAGATCATTATTAATTGTAAACTTGATCATACGTTATGACAGCGACCCCACTATGATTAAACAGATTGTTTTTTCCGTCTCTGTGTTGATTCCACATTGTTAAAAAAAACCCAAAGGAGTCGACATCATACAAGACTTTCAATGGAACCGTCGAGACCATGATTGACACAGACCCACTTTGGTTCATCCTAGAGAATGTGGATGTCGGAGATGCCACCGATGAGCAGTCCAATGGTGCTGTGATTTCTCAGGTATTAGCAAATGCTGGTTTTGAGACACGAAACCCAGCTCAATCACTGCAGGGGTAATGATCAGGATGACATGTTAGACTTAGACAATTCATTTGTTTTTGATTTACGAAAGTGATTGGGTTTCAAGGTAAACACTTCAACGTCAACAATGGTTCGACAATGATAGTTTGATGATTGATGTAATATAAGGACATATACTAACTAACATAGTTAACTATGATGTAAAAACAACATATAATAATATACAAATAATAAAACTAAAACAAAACAAGATGCAATACTATCATACAACAATATCATCTAATATAATGAAGCGCAAAAAATACATATCAAATATAATACAATGTAATTTTTCATACACTATTTACATACAATAAAAGATAATATAATTTAATCCCGTATAATTTAAAGCATATAATAAATACAGTTCAAGAAACAATATTTCAAAAACATACTGAAATGTAATTTACTACAAAACATATTGTATCATAATCTATTTCAAAAAAACTTTACTTGAATCTAATCCAACAAATTATCAAAAAACTTATACAGAATAGAACAATATATAAATATACTATATTAACTCCATTATATTATGTTATATTTCAAATTATATGTTATATTAAATATTTCGGGAAATACCTTTTAATTGTAAATACACTATATATATTTTTTGTATATATTAAAACAATAGATGCAATATTTAACAAACCAATATGATATAATATATTTATATAATTTATATATATATATATCGTTTCATTAATTAAGTTGAAAAAATATACATATTTGTATTTACATGCATCTATACAAAGTGAGTTTATGTATTTGTATTGTGTTTGTAAAACTATCAACGATACTGATGACTATGACAACAACGACGACGACGACGACAACGAAGACGACCACGACGACGACGATGATGAAAATTATGATGATGATGATGATGATGACTTAATGATAACATTGACCTTAACTAACTTTCATGAATCACAATGTTGATGAGGGTGGTGATGATGATTATGCTTAGCATGATGATCCATGAGCGTTTTTATCATAAATGATAATGATGGTAGTGTTGATCATGATGATGATGACGACGACAACAATGACAGTGGCGATGACGATGAAGAAGAAGATGATGATGATGATGAAGCTGACAATGATGATGGTGATGATGATGACAACAAGCAATGACTATGACAATGGCGATGACACCGATGACAGTGATAATGACTAATGATGGTGTTGTCAGTTATATGGTTGATGATGATGAGAATGACGATGATCTAGGATACATAAACATATACAACTTGATAAGACAATAACTATTACAATAGGTGTATTCTATGTGATTTATATGTCTTAACTTTTCGAATACTAGGTAATTCGATCGTACTTATACTAGGCTACATGTACTTTGTTTGAACTTTATTATTCATGCAGTCAGGAATGATCTTATTAGAAGCATTCAATTTTGCGCTGCCACAGCGCCGAACCCGTCTCTTCATCTTGGCTGTGAACAAGAATCGTGCCACTGCTGAGCTTGCGAATAGCCCATCGGAGATCTTAGATATGGCGGTGACAGAACTACTGCCTATTTGCAAGACTGCTCCACTCCCAGTTGACATTCGTTCATATTCAGTGCGTTCACCTTTTCCTTTGTCCCCTCCCCACCATCCATTACATTCACTAACATACCATATACTATACGGACACATATGGGATTCGTGATTCATGTTACATGATACAGTATTTATATATATAAAGAAAAAAACATCGTTTCAGACAAAAACAAAACACACTGTATAGTATAAAGTGGGTTTCCGACAATAATACAATCGATAACAAGGATAATGGATTTGATGCATCAACAGTGTATCCAAGGATGCTTTCTTGGACGATGACACCTCAGATAGGGTTGTGAATGAGCAACAGAGACGTCAGCAAGTGCGAACTTCAAAGAATCGACGTACGGAAACCGAAGAAACTGATGAGCTGGATCTAGACGCATCCCTCAAAGGGGGGAAATGGAAAGATATGCACATGCAATTGGCAGTTTCCCGTGGGAAGCTTAGTGACAGTTAAATCAAAACCAACAAGACTGACCTTGTACCATATTACAACGACCTTGTGTAACTAGAAGGGATGAAACAACATACTGATAACATACCATACATCATGTTCAACCTAGGGACCTAAGGGTGTTTGCGTCAGTGATGAAACCATTCTGGACCATGTCATGCTATTGGCAGGTGGGTTGACCTGGCCATTGGAGTTGCCGACGGGCCTGACTGAGAACCCTTGGTTTGCAACACTACCAGCACGTGAGCAAGAGGCCATTCATAAAACTGATGTGTAGCATTATGTGGTTCATCCTTTGAAATTTTACATCATACTATGACACGATGATACATTGTTAACTGATATCACTCACACAAAACTAAATTGTGAGTACATTTAGCAATTACAGCTTGTATTTGTTGGTGCATTACCATTTTGACAATGACTATGGTTACTTTGCTGCAAATCGTTTGTCCTTTGTTGTTGGAATCTGTTTGGTGGGTCGATTCACAATGTTCGATTATTCCTGAAAAAAACAGCATCTTCACTACGTACATACACACAGACAGACATGATATATTTACATACTGCATAGGCCACATAGGTATCATCATATGGTTCATATCATATATCAAATCATCAAATATCATCATAAATTTTACATACTATATAATATAGGTTATAGGTATACCTTATAACAGTAAAATATTTTACATATTTTTTTTTACATCAAATCATATATACCATGTGTTATGATATCTGGTTGGTCTTTGGTAAATAAGATACATAATCACATATCATAATAACAAGATATGTATATATATATAAATTCTTTAAATAATTTGAAATCGCTATATAACATAATATTGTAAAATATATACATACCATATATATTATATATATAAGGTATAAGTTTTTTAATATATATATATTTGCTGGGCAGCGATGCGCAGATCATCGCATTTGTCCAGAAGAAGAACGATGAGCGTATCGCTTTGAACCAGTCACCATATCGATTCGCGGACCTATACCACAGTGCGAACCGCACTCCGGTGAGTGACGCAGGGGTATCTTATCTTGGTTTTATTACGTTGGTTTTAGCAGTATGTCAATTTACTGGTTGCTTAAAACTTAAACCAACACATACAAAACATAATGCCGTTAAAAAAACAACATTATTCAGATTGACCTTGTCCATTTTTGATCTTATCCTAAAAGTTAATATTACCAAAACTTCCTTCACTCCCAAAAGTTCAGGTTACATTGTTATGTATTTAGTATTAGCGAAATTTATGTATGGACAATATGGATTGAGATAATTTAAAATGTTAGTTATATTATATTGCTCTTACAAATCGTCTATGTGAAATATGTGACAACATATGTGTTAGTTGTGTTAGACAGCTAGACATAGTATGACATATCAGCGCCAGCTCGTTCCAGTCTCAATCACTATATTCAATTTGATGCAAACTGTAGGTGGTGCCAACGGTGTTGCCATCTGGCACAGTTTGGGACTTTACCCGGTCTCGCCTTCTGACCGGGCATGAGCAAATGGGGTTACAAGGGATTCAGATGGAGTTTGCGCATGAGATTTCCAACAATCAAGCACAGGATCTGGCAGGCAACGCGCTGCTAGGCCAGGCTTCATTGACATCGATATGTATACGGCTCTACAACAAAACAATAAGGTGATAGTGGTGTCGTAATATCGATATGGTTTTTCTTTTGTCATCAGAATAGGGGGATGATTTGATTTAGAAATAGTGAAGAGTTTGTACTAGATACAATAAGACAATCTATTGGGATTATGTGGATTAGACTGAGACTACACTGATGATTGTAGTTTACAAATACTCTGAGGTTTCCAGCTACAGTCGTGGCAGCTTTGCAAATGGCAATGCTATGTGCAATGCAGTTTCCTTCGGCCATGGAGGACGTGGCCATGGACCAAGTTGAAAGCCTTCTGAACATGATTCTGGGCTAAGTTTTTTTTTCGACATGACAGTAGTTGACTCTTTATCAACAAATCATAGGTTGCGGTAATCATAGTGAATCATAGGCGGTATGATATGTTTCATTTTGATGGTGATAAATTGTTTTTTCACTATTAGGGTTCATTTATCCACATTAATTTGCATACTTCCAGAAAGGGGAAACGCTCAAAGATACAATAGCAAATCAGAATCCCAATGTTAATCAATGTTGAATTGGCTTTGTTCCATATACACTTTGCCTGTGTCTTATTACATCCTTGTTGGCTAAGGATTGGCTGAATATATCAGAACATCTGCTGCCGTACACGTACAGTCCGTATGGAAATGATGTTTCACTGTGGGTTGAATGGCACTTCCGGGAGCAGTGCGTTGAATGAAAAAAAAAACAACACTGGTGCGCATCCGCATGTTTGAGACCGTTTGGGGCCGTGCATTGATTCAGAACATATCCCAACAACGATCCATTCCCATAGTTGTGGTACATAATGATGCTAATTTTAAAATAATTTCAAATAGAAGCATGCACAGGCGGCAAGTTTATATTATGTTTCCCCATATTTTATATCAAAATGTTTGGATCATAACCCACCAAACTAGTATATTCGAATATAATATTATCATATCATTTAATTTCAGAAGAAAAAATCAATCATCATACAATCATATGACCCCAAAATCATACCATTGTACCGCACAATGACCTCAAAATCGTACCATCGTACTGTACCATGACCTCAAAACCGTACCATCGTACCGTACCCTGACTTCAAAACCGTACCATCGTACCGTACCATGACTTCAAAACCGTACCCTCCAACCGTACCCCGTTCCAAGCATCCAAATTCACACCTACTTTGAAAATTCATAATGTATACATTATATATACATACATAATATATATATATGAAAACCGTGGCAGTTTACCGGGTCCGGTTGGGGCCTGTGATTTTCTACTAGAAAATGAATGTTGTATAAATTAGGGACCCAAGAAAATCTAGCTACAGACATCAAACGAATTCGAGCTACCCTAGAAAAATGGCACCCCCCAAGAAATGCATTTTCGAAGCTATGGGCTATGGACCGTATTTTTTCTTAGAAAAACATCACCCTGCTTGAATGGTATAATGTTGAAAATCGAAATCAATTTTTTTGAAAACAACTTCCAGGGAATGGTTCCATTTTTCTAGAGACCAACATCCAACCCATCGAATTTTTCGAAATATTCGAATTTCATCGAAATTCCATCCCATTAACATCCTAAAACATCCTGAAACACTGTGCGACCGTTTAATGAAAACAACGAATGCAGACATGACATCATGCCATGCTCATTGCCGCGCATTCCCCGAGACGGCTGCAATGAAATGCAGCGAGATGCGGCAAGTGTTGCAAACTTGGACAGGAGAGAAATGGGATTAGATTTTAAGATATTTTAAGCATGTTTAAACAAAACAAAATGACCTACCAGTGCCCCTCTAGAAAATCAGGGACCACTAGAAAATCTAGGAACGTCCTCCCAGAGATGCTAAAATTATGCTCCTGGATTTTGGGCACTTAAGCTACACAGAAAATCAGGGTCTCCCGACTCAGAAGTCTCCAAAAGTTGTTCTGTAGAAAATGAGGGGGTTGATAAAAGCAGCCTTTCATCAAAATCGAAGAATTTTCGCGCCAGAAAATCAGTCCTTCTTAGGGGGGTTGACCTCCCTGAAATCCTAGAGGAAACTCCAACCCCGTTTATATAAATAATATATATATATATATATTTGTTCCCCCAGATTTCTCGGATTTTCCCCATGGATCCATCGCATCCCCTTCGGGTGATGTAGCCGAAGCACTCCAGCGCCTGCTGCCAATTCTCCGCAGATGAGATGGCTGAGCTGTAGGTGACGATGTCCGGAAGCAGCCTGATGGCAAGGAAAGCCAAGACGTAAACACATCTGGTTCTGTCGGAAAAGGAAGCTTTTCAGGCAATTATGCAATTGTAGGAGGGACATAATGATTAACTATTGATTAACGGATGGAATTGGCTACCTTATTTTCAGGCTTAGAAACAACTGGTAACGGAGAAATAGATGGGAAAAAACGACTTACATTCAAGATGTGGGATATGATATGGAGCAAAGAATCATTAGAAGAATGAGGGACTAAACCAAGCGACTCAAAGTGAAACCTGAGGTACAACACAGAAGAAACTGCTGTCAACATGAGATACACGTGTGAAACTTCATGGTTTTTGACATTGGCCAGTAGGTTCCTCAACTTAAATAGGTTTTGGCTTTGGTATGTTTTGGTCCCTTCTCAACTTATAGTAAATAGGTTTTGGTATGTTTTGGTCCTTTTTTCCCCTGGGTTCCCTATGACCATCTCTGAATCACTGGGTCGTCAACGGCCACCGGTCACCCTGGGGCGGCCGGGATGCCTGGCACCATCCAGACGGTCAAGCAGCCGCATCGCAGCCTGCCAGCGTTTTCCTGGAAGCGGCGCCAGTGTGGCCACAGAACCAGTTGTTGGACATGTGTACTCAACCAAATAAGGAATTTACATGGATACACATATACAATCACACACACATATTAATATATCAATATACGTATACATATATATATATTTATATGTATGTATGTATGTATGCATGTATGTATGTATGTATTTGTTGTGTATGTAAAACAGTTAAAATATATGTATATGTATGCAATGGTCATACGTGTGATTGACTTATGACTATTCGCTGCAACTCTCTGTAAGTATACACATTTGTAGATGAATAAATCTGCACCGCGTGTGGCCAATGACTCAGGCATCCTTTGGCACAGGCACTCACCGCGGCGTTGAAGAGAATCAGACTGGGCTGCAACGGCAACTGAAGGACCGCGCGCAGGAGTGACATCGCATCTTGCCACCTGGAGGCGCGCCTTGGTTTGCAACTTAACCCCACCCAAGCAGTGGCTATTCTGTACATCAACCATCTTCGAATCTTTGCTGTTTCCTCTTAATGTCCTCATGCTCAGGTGCTACCCCAGAGCCAAACCCTGGCTTCACCTTGGTTTAAGATGGTCACCCAAGTAAGTAAGTCTCACCAAGCAGAACATCACTTTACGGGAAAAATCGATTTGAAACCCTGGTTTCCACCCCCCAACATGATTCAAAGTGAATGGGCAATCATGGTTTCTGAACGTTTCTCACATCTTTCCAATTTTTCACCATTTTTTACCTCTGATTTTTCATTCTTTTTGAAGGCAATCCTCCAAATCTCCAAAATCTCGAAATCACCCGCTGATCCTTCCAGCAGGGTCGCTCCATGACGCTCAAGGTGGCCCCATAGGTCACCACGGTGGCCTGCAAGGTCTCGCGACGAAGCTCATCCAACAGCGCCACCTGAAAGGAGCGCTGGATGGTGAAACATGTAAGATATAGGTATATATTAGACTATGGGCACATAAAATATATGGAAAATCTATGGAAAATCTATGGAACATGATGGGAAACATAGATGGAAGAAATTGACAGAGAGCTGTTTGAAGGTGGATGGTTTGGGCTGAAGATACATGTAAGTTTGGAGAAATTACGCCCGTAAGGAGTGGACCAATTGCAGGCTCACCTCGGCTGCGAACACTGACCACGCCCTTTTCCAGTACAGGCTTCGCAGGCAAGCTTTTGCTTGTCAACTGTTGTCAATAAGGTCGACATGATGTCTCTATAAAATGTGTTTACAGGTGCTGAGCTGAAAACCTGCATCATGTTCAATCCACTATTTACCACCAGTACGCCGTAGCTGGATTACCACCAGTATGGCCTAGCTGGATGCTCTGTGACAGTTTTAAATATGTACATATACATGCTCATAAGAGCAGCTAACGCGAGTTTAAACTTGGTTTACCTTCCTTCCGGCAATCAAATATGGCAATTGGAATGCTAAATGCTCCATTCTTAGTAAGAAATCAAGCCCTATGTATTTTTCTGTATTTACTGTTGCCAGTTTAGAATGCCAGAGATACCATTTCATTTTGGGTTGCTATTGCTATACCCATATTGTCTGATTGAACAATTCTGCTCCATAGAATGCTATTTTTGGGTCAAGTCCTCATTTCTCATTTTATCTGACTATCCTTGTTCTGAAATTGCGGTGGCACCAAGGAAAAAAAGAGCCCAGACACTGCACGTTGCCAGTGACCGGACTGCTTGCAGCGGCTGATGGCCTCGAAATTTGGGGAGTTGGAGGTGGAGCGCCATGAGTTTAAAAACCGCAGAGAACTGCATTGATTTCTTCAAAATGTGCATATAATGTACCGGGTTCCTTCTAATTTGTTGATCAAGAAAATATTAAGAAACAACGAAGCATCAATGTCTCACGGCTCTATATAACTTGCTAGGCATACCACCCTGTTGTTTTGAGGGCACTTCCCATTGAGAACGAATTTCGCCCATTTCCGACCCCTCCCCAATATCATTGAAATCACTTAATCACAATTTCAACCACTCAACTGCACCATTCAGCCACTACGATACTGCACCACAGTTTCAAGGTGATGCAGTGATGCTTCAATGGTTGCATTGGTTTAAGTACATGTTACAGGAACCCTCCAGTATTTGGGGCGGAAAAAATAGGTTCTCCTCTCACATTTCCCTTCAACCACTGCCTACCATCTGATTACCATCTTTCACGCCTTGTTGTACTCAATGATCTTGGGCACCATCGGCTCCGTCGCCGGGCCACAGGCCGTGCTGGGCTGCTACTGGTTTTACCCACTTCTAGTAGTTTAAAAATCCCACTAGAACTGGGCTTGCAACTGCCATAACAATTCATAACATGCTTGGCTTAACCAGGCATGGACCAGTTGTCGTTCTTAGGACAAGTCATCTGCTGTCGTGGAACATGGGAAGGCCTGGCTCCACCCACCAGGCAGCGCACACAGCACAAGTTAATTCATGCAGCACAAAACTGCGGTGCGGCGTATGAAATTTTGAACAACAGCTGGCTGGTGGAACCTGAGGACTGCTCAACCTGCACCTCTTCCACTAACTTCCAACAATGGATAACTGCTTGTTTGGCCCCATAATCCCAGACGAGCCAAAATCACAAAATTAGGCATCTGCTAAAGATGTGAATCTTTTGAGAAAAGTATTGCGCTGGATCACTTCCCAGGTTGGGTTTTGACAATGGGAGCCTGAGGCCTGGATCCCGACCCTGGTTCCTTGCTTAAACTTGCTGGGAAGCCTTAAAAGCAACCAGGCAACCAGGATCAACTAGGCAACCCATCAAATCCTATGGGATCCCATGGTTCCATATGAATCCATATGATCATATATGATCCATATGGAGGTTTCCTAAAATAGGGCTACCCCCAAAACATCCATTTTCTGATCCGCTGGGATCCAACTGCTCCAGCAGCCGCCGCAAACCGGACAGCTCAGCCGCCCGGTCGCAGGCGTCCGCGATGGAGGCGTACCTCCGCGGGCATTGGGGGGGTCCTTCCGGTGCCAGGGCAACAAAGACCTGGAAAAATAGGGGGAAACAGGATGAACACTATCATTTTATATCATGTTATCTCGTTTCATATCGTTTTTTAACGTCAAATTGAAATGAGGGCATGCCACAGACCATCCCTTTGGTGCTGAAATACCTTCACACGATGAGTGGTCAGCATGTTTTGCTAGTCGAAACCAAGCTTTGGTGACAAGGTGACAAACTATGACAAACTAACAGATTTTAATTGATTCTGCCTCCCCCTCATGTTGATCTTGGTTCTTGAGGGCAAACATGCGACCCCAGTACGAGTCTCTGGTCTTCGGGCGGTCAGTTGGAGTTAGGAGTTTCCAACGTGACGCCAATGACCACACAACTAAAGTGCGCATCCGCCTTCCTCCATCTGAAAGGCGCACCAGCAGTGAACAAACCGAGATAATCAACCCGCATGCGTGCAACCTTTATATATCATCAATGTTTTAGTCAACTAGACGCTAGACGGCGAGACTGACATTCTGAATCTGCAAATCAAACTCATTCACAAACCCGAAGTGAACCATTTTTGAGGTGGTACCCCCACGACTTAGAATATGGAGGAGGATGCTCCATGCCTTTACGCCTGCCCGAGTGGCGCGATGGCATCAAGGTTAATGTGACATCTTGCAGCTTGGTCAATGATACCGCAGGCAGATTGCCATTCTCCAGCCTTAGTGCTTCGAGGTTTGCTTTGTAACTCAGAAAATCTTGAATGAAATTAAACGGTGACATATTGCTTCTCATACGCCTTTGTGCCAGAAAGCTACCGTACCTCAAGCATCCCAAGCAGGCCTTAACCATATCTGACGTGGAACCACCTTGCTAGCAAATTTTGTTTAAACTCTACTCAGTGCAAATCCTTCAAACCATGGCTTGCAGCATTGGAAGCTCTTTTGCGGACGTATCTCCAATGGCCATGGTCGTGCATCACTGGACAACCCCCTGCAGGAATCTGTCTGGTTTGTGTTTGAAAACCGGGATGTCTACTAATTCGTCACAAAACAAACCAGGCAATCGCAGCAAAAACCTCAAACCATTTCACACAGGTGTATTTAGCACGTCCCAAAACCACTAGAACCGGTAAACTCCTAGCGCAACAATGGCAACATACGTTTCTAATTTTGGACTATATACTTGAAGATATGATGTCATCTCACCTTCAATTTTCTGGTTATGTTTACGCTCCGCCTTTCGGCTCCAGACTTCCTCCACTGCAGCAAGGATCCTTTCCGCAGGCGCAGCAAATCGCGCTGAGGCCGACCAAATCCAGCGATGCCGCGTCTGCCGCCGCGTCGGAGAGATGAATGGCCGATCTCCAACAATTCGATTCCTGCAGGCAGGTGGTGAAAAACTGGTCACCGGCGTCACCGGCGACCATTTGCCAACAAACCATGTAAATTGTCCAATTTGTCCAATTTGGAATGGAGATCTTCGTGGATTTTCCAGTGCCAAGTTTGCTTCCTTCACGGTGTATAAGGTTCAGGATGGTATGAAGAACTTGACAATGGCCATTTCAGGAACCTAAATTGGAGGTACCTACCATATATCAGGCCAAATTTTCAGGGCTATGTAGGGAATATCCTTACAACATGTGGCCTTATATGGTACAGTACGTCTACTTTAGGGTCCTGAAATTCCGGTTGAACTTGGATGAAACTGAAGTCCTGGAAGGCCGTGAAGGTCGCGTTGTACGCCACCAAGTTCCTGAGCAAACTGAGATGACGGGTGGGGGGGCCCCCCCTTCAATTTCCCGGGATGTGGAAATTTGCAACCCCTGTGAACTCCAACTTTCAAGAAAAGCAAGGCATTTGGACATCCAGTTCGAGCTGTGTGGGCCAGGAGTCAACTGCACTTGGAGATTGCATACCATCTCCAAAAGCATCACAGCTTGCTGCCAATTGGATGTTTTGGAGCACGCACTGATGGTCGCACTGCCAGCGAAAACGTTGACTTCAACCTCGAGGATGATGGCAGCTCTGCGCTGGGAAAATGAGTCACAGGGGAGAGATATTCTTTGGACAACAACTTTCATGTGGCGTTTCCCAACATAAAATCATAAACCTCCCCCAACATCACCGTGGACAAAGGGGATGGGTCATGCTCCACGCACATTTCCAATCCAGAACTACCAATCTTGCCCTTGGGGCCCTTGGGGCCCTTGGAGTAGCAGTTCTACATCCATGTGAACTCTTAGGTTTGGACTACATAGCACATTCAGGCACACAATTCCTCTTAGCATCTCTTAGGGAAATCAAATGTGAAGAAATGGAATGGAAAACCCGCTAATTAATTTGATCTAATTTGTCTGATTTACCTATTGGAACAGCACTTTTATTGACACCCTAGCTCACCAAGCACAACTCAAAGAATTGCCAAAGCAAATCTCCGTGGACCTGGCTCTCACTGGCCTGGAAAAGAAGAAGCAAAGCTCTTTCCCATTCCTTATCTGACAGCAGAGCCGAACAAATGAGATCTGCCAGGTAGGCCGAACGCCCTGTTCATCCGGCCGTATCCAGGGCTATAGGTGAATGATGCAGAACGATCAATTCAAAGACTCCATTCCAGAGAAAATCATGAAACGTATACGTACAGTAGGGCCCTCGCACTTGAAACTCGTCATCTTAGTAACTTAGGTGATGTCGCTGTGAGGACCAATCTGCGAATGGGTCTGTCTGAGAATGGGAGGATGCCCCCCAAAAAGTCATTTTTCTATTGGACAGAAGATGATTGACCATGCCATGTTTGGGTGTTCCACATCTTCAAACCCACATCGTGCTGGACCGAGTTCATTTCGTTCTTCACACGCACTGATGGCAGCGCTGTAAGTGATGATGTCCGGTTCTAAGCGTTGCATCAGCACATTCTCCAGGATGGCCAGTGCTAAGGGCCAGTGACCTGGGAAGCCATGGAGGTCATTCTCCAATGGTTTGTGGGTTTCACCACATCTCAAAAAAAGTAACAGGCAGGTCATTGGGGACCATCATAAGAGGCTTGGGGGTCTACAAATCAAATCCAAAGACTTTCCTTTCATGGGATCGTCGAATTTTTGAGTTCTGGGCGGCCTTCAAGAGATTTCAAGAGCCACTGGTATTCGATGACTACAGGTTGCTGAAAAAACCCAAACCACTGTGTCTATTGTAGAATTCATAGGAATTCTATGCTTGGCAATGGTGATGTTCACGGATTAGGGACCACTCAAAAGCTTTGCCAATCAGTTTCCATGTTCAGTATCTCTGGCTTTTACCCTCGATCATCCCCCCCTCTATGTTGATCACTTTAAATATGTATATATAATATATACGTATATATAATCCCTTTCCCAGAATGTTCTGGCAAGCAATCCCTTTCCCAGAACATGAATCACCACTTTGGCCCCTTGGAAACCACAGTTTCATATTGGATGTTTGGGAGCCCCTGCCTGCCGCCTGCGGCCTAAGCACTGGACTTCCCGCAGGCGTTGATTAAACCGTTGAGAATCACCAAGTCTGAGCAGTGACCCCCAGCCGCCCCAGCCAGTTGGAGGGCATGCTGCCAATGAACCTGGACAATGACGTGGGTTTCTGATGGTTTCTGGGGGATTTTCAGGGAGGGATTTCACTGAAGACTTTTAGGTGGTTACAGTGGTTACCACCTCATGCATGACATGGCAAGTATCGCAAGACGTGCCATGCTATGCTGAATGCTATGACTTTGGAAACCTCCAGTGAATGGGACCAGCCGGCTATTGACACAAAGTTCATTCAGCGTGCCTTAAGGCCAGTCAGGAGCAGGAGCTTTCACTCTAATTCAGACTATCCAATCTGCCTACCGAACAATCCCTTGAAGCAAACATGGTATACAGGTATGCTGTTCCCTGTCAAGATTGGTGTCTCCAAACAATACCTATCGAAGGTGAGCAGCCACCTAAGTGCAATCCCAGTGATAGCAGCTGGGGGACAGTCTTTGCGCAAGCATTGAGGAGTGGGCTGGTCGTAAAGGCATCAGGTTGCCTCAAATCAAGGTGTACTATTCCGTGCCCCAGCCAGTTCAGGGATACCAAACTGCGGGCTCAGGGGGAAAATTTTCTGGCGTGCAGGCACTGCTACGACCCTGATCTGCAATCCGCGTTGGGCACATGTGTGCCATGTACGTATAGATGTGCATGGCCTCTGTTGCCACCCGTTGATACAACATGATAAAACGAACCAAAATCTTTCCACAGTCATGTTCAAGTTCGATTTTCAGCGGGTGGCGAGGTTTGAACTGCAAGTGAATACTTGTTTCAAGCCAAACCCCAAACATCCATAGATATGCCACTAATCTTAATGTGAATCTGTCCTCAGAGCAGGATAGAAAGTCGAACGTATACCACAACCCAGTCTTGGAACAGCCCAGCCACAATGTTTTTGCCACAGCGGACTGGAACAAAAGCAGAACTTCCTGCCAGCGACCAGCTTTCTCCCCTGCGCTTACCTGACAGCTGTGCAACTGCGCGGCGGAACAACACCCACAAATCACACAAAACCTTTGGAATCAGCTGAACTTGTCTAAATGGTCTAATTGTCTAAATGTCTAGCATCCTATCCTCCACAGTTCAGCAGAGCTATGACATACGACATGCATTGACATGCAATTTTTTCATTGCCACTTTTTTTTTGAGGTTCCCATTATCCCATTCTATCCGATTCCTGAAAAACTGATTGAAAGACATGTGTCGACATGCGGCCCAGCAAGGGTCCACCTTCAATGCCGTTGGGTCACAGTGGTATTGAATGTGATCACACTTTGTCTCATCCTGGGCCGCACTATAGCGCAATGTCGGCCCTGAAGAAAGCCTTTGTTTGACACATGTCCAGCAGTGGCCCCCGCAAGTTTGACATCATAAATCCCAAAGGATACCATATCCAATCCAACAATATCCCGAAGATTCGCCGAAGATCGTAGTTTGCGGAATGAGTTTGGTTTGCAGGCAGGTGTATCAGATGGCTTACTGGCGGTGAATTCCGGTGAAAAAAGTGAGAGACACATAGAGACACATACGAAAACTGGCAACCTGAGACCTAAGCCTAAGCGATCTGTCAAATGATCAGTAGTAATGACACGTACTAGTATCAATATCCTCGTTTGGCTGTAAGCAAATTATTTTGGTTGGTTCACCTCTCCCTTCTCCATGATTATATGATCAAATTATATGACTTCTTGGCTACCAATGGCATTTTCCTAAAATGGCACACCTCATCTCAACATCACCTTCCACCCTCCCCAGCACCAAAGGTCTCTTGCTTCGAAACCTCCTGCAGAAGAACAACAGCATCCAGCCAAGATGTGACCTTTTCACAAGCCGACATGGTGACGTTGAAAGTGACCACATCTGGCCTTGGCATATCTTGGCATCACGAAGTGCAAGAGTTTTGGTGCGAAATTGATGTGTGGAGAGGTCCAACCAGTACTTTGGGTGATTTTGAAGATGAAACATCTGTGGTGTTTGAAACAATCATCAGCCAACAAAAATGGGGATGGACTTTGAAAACAAGCCTGTGTTTCGTAGTGTCGTAGTACATAAAAAATCAGATTGTCACATTATTATTCTCCGAAAGCTGATGGGAAGGGTCTCTACTCAGGGCTACCTCAAGCCTCCCACATTCCAGACCTATGCAATAAACATGCAAGATGCAATGAATATCCATGAATTCTAAAGGTTGAAATAACAAATGACATCCCTAAGCCCCACTTCTGTGTGGTTTCGCCTCAGCCCTTGGGCAAAGGTGTCCCGGACGCCGCACTGCAGCGCATGGTGCCAGGGCGGACAATGCGACAGCGCGGCGCCAGTGGTGATGTGGTTCGTCTCGACAGCTTGGTGCTCCTGTCCCCGTGAAAAACGCTGGGCGTTGGTTGAAATCAACAACTATTGAGTTTATGAGCGTTTATGGGGACTAGAAGTAAAACTTCACCGGAAACCATGGTTGATGAATGACTTATATTATATATATATGTATATTTATATATATATATATAGCCGCGGAAGTTATTTGGTACAAATTGCAAATGTCGGGGTGTTCCTACCTCGTTCTCCAGTCCTGTCACGTTTTTTGGGGTCTGACCTCGTTCTCCAATGCCGCACTTGTTTTCAATAGCTAAATGCTTTGCATGCATGGCCACCTTGTTCTCGGGGTGTTCCTACAGCTTGAGGCCGTACCTCGTTTCACAAGCTAGCTATGATGTTTCCGACAAACCGGGGTACGCCACAATACTACTCTCCATTTAACCAAATAAAAGCCGTTGCTCATATAGTTTTCCCGGGATTTTTCCATGATCCAATGCTGGGAGATGAGTTTTGGGGTGGAAGAAATGGGTTCGAGCAAGTGGCATGCTGGGCAAATAACATATCGTATGCATAATCTGCACACATACGTCCTTGTACGTCATACATCTAGTTCTACATCCCTACACACAAAAAAACAAACAAAACAAAAAAAACACGAAGCCCTCTGTCAAATCTCCATCTCGCACAGCAAGCAGTGGGATCTCTGCCACCCTCCCGCTGCGCTGATGCCAGCACCCCAGACCACCACATCCGCCGACAGCCCGGCCGATGACATAAGTCCTGGGGTTCAGACCACTGCCTGGTGTCATTGGGGGACCTATGATAGCTGGATAAACTCGCACTGGTTGCTGGTGGTTCACAGTCCCCCGAAAAAAACATTTTTTTTTTTTGCGGGGCCTACCTTTGGATCCTGTGAAGGGGTTGGTTTAATCCCCATGATGCTGGGGTGTACTCCAGAAATCGCAGGGGATCATCCAAGTAGCAAGGACTGGCCCACAAACCCCGACTGACCACGTGCTCAATGCTTCGTCTGCCAGAAACAGCCCCTAAACTTACCCTTTCTTGGTATTTCAGGCGCGATTGGTGGGTCATTGAGATGGTATTGGCATGTATTGACCCCATGTATATATGCACTCCAGACTAAAAATGTATACTCATTTTGCCTTGGCACCAGTGAGTCTCATTTCTTGGGTTCTCAATAGTTTTGGCATATCCTTTGGTGATAGCACATGCTAAAATTACAAACATGGGAATACAACAATCACCACCCATGGTGTATTTATTATGTTCCTCAATAAAGATTAAAGCTCATAGTTTGTGGCCCATATCCTCTGGCAAACCAGCAAAGCTATGGAAAATGGCCCATTTATACTTGATTTACCTACTAACCGTTACTAACCCTTGTGATTTACCACTGCCATGCTAGTTTGCCAGAGGCTAATTCTAAGTCATCTCCAGCTTCTCCAAGGTTCTGAAGAGTTCCAGGGCACTTTCCCAGGCTGCCAGCTTTTGGCAGGAACTTATGGCAGCACTTGATGTGACGACCTGGGAGGGTTCACTGCATTTTAAGTTCTATGTCCAACTGGGAACACCAGGGGGTGGGGCAAATCTCAAAGAGATCCACAATTTCTGGTCCATTTCTCGTCAATTTGAATGGCAAATAATATCAACAGAACCCTTTCATCTCGTTTTAGAGTGACTGTGATTCGTTGGGATACAACAAGCAACCAATAGAAACAGGAGGATGCTGGTATAATTTATGAGGAGA